AAACACACACACAAACACACATAAACACACACACACACACATAAATACACATACACAGACATAAAAACACACACACAAGCTGTCTGTCCATAAGAGGAAAAGGATTATAAATGTATCTTTAAATTTTAACCTCCTGTAATATTCTGGATCAATATCAGAGAAGCCGCCCCCACACTGAATTATAAGATATACATTTATTGACGCTCACACCCTATCTTACATGTTGATAATATAAGCAAAAAGAAAAAAAAATCAGCGTCCTTTATCCCATTACAAGCCAGGACAGGCGTCACAGGATAGGACGAAGTTTTCACTGAAGCGTTCACAGCGGTGATCACAGAGTAACAACTATCTGACACCTTTAACATTGCCATCATCATTGTTTGCAGGCTCAGTTCTCAGAGATCCCTTGTGTTATAAGGCCTTTATCTTCAATGTGACACTTCAAAGCCAAATGGTCATTACAGAGGAAGTGACAGGGTAGTTATTTCCAATGAAGAGGAGACATTTTTCCAACATGCCTTTGGAAACCCATCATCCTTCCGCAGATGAAGTAACAGGCACACTGGAGGGTTATCAGAGGAATTCAAGGAAGGTCTGATGGCTTAATGCACTGGTGCCCAGCACCATCCAGGAGCACAGCAGGAGGTGAGTGGGACGACAGCAAGGGAAGCTGCCCATCACCGCCTAAGCTCCACCTCCTGTCACATAGGTGGTGGCCTTAGATTCCCACAGGAGCCGAACCTCCCACAAACTGCACATGTGAGGGGTCCGGGTCATGCGCTCCCCGTGAGAACCTAATGCCTGATGATTTGAGGTGCAGATGTGATGCACTTGATCATCCCCCGAAACTACCCCTGCACCCCCGTCCTTGGAAGAATCATCTTCCATGAACTCAGGCCCTGGTGCCAAAAAGGTTAGAGACCACTGGCTTAATACATGCGAATGAAGGGATGACTTCAGGTACAAGTTTGCTCATGAGTTCTACTTGGTCTGAAGCACACCATGGAGAAGGCTATTTGTGCTACTGTGTCACGAATCGCAGTGGTCGTGTAATTTTAATATCCTGGGCTTGGACTTGTGATGCAACCCTACATCAGGGGTGTCCAACCTGCAGTCTATGGGCCGAATGCAGATTATCTGAGACTGTCTTGCTTATCTGTGGTGTCAGACACCATGAAAAGTACACACAGACCTTTTGTTCTGCTCACCAGCTTTCCTCAGTGTTTGTTTATTTACTGTGTGGCCCAACACAGCTCTTCTTCCTGCAATATTCAGCAGAGAAGAAAAAAAGTTGGACATCCCTGCTCATAATTTTGATGTTCCAGTCTTTTTATATGAATTCAGACTGGGGACCCAGCTTAACCCATGGAAGTGATCTGAGCTGTCATTCGGCATCGAACGCTGGGCTGGGCTCCTCTGCTCATCAGCTGTGGACGTATCACTCAGCACCCCAGACCTCAGGCTCCTCAGCAGCAAACCTGACTGAGGGTGACCTCTAGAATTCCTTTCAGAGCTGGCTGTGATCCCAAGAGATGTTATTTCAAAAGAGAAATTGCAGTTTTGCTACACCAAGTACCATAAAATATTAAGTGAGAAGCGTGTCTCAGTCCTCCCATCTGAGATTATCTGACAAGAAAATAGAAAGACATCTTTATTTAACAGCTTACCTACTCTTGGGAAGAAAATGGGTGAGAATAACCAAGGTAGCAAATCTGCTTTTCAGACTGTCAGTTCCTCACCAGAACCTGGGTTCTTTCCACACTAATGTTACAGTGTTTCTCTAAGGTTTCCACAAACTGGTTCATTGTTTGGAATCCTCATGATCTAGTCATGTTAAATTGGTGAAAATTCCTCCCTGTTTTATATGCTACATGTTTCTGATGCATGATGTTCTCATAAAACAAATTCAAGGGCAAGTTTTATACTCAAGATACATCGTAAGTACAAAACGTCACTGAACTAAGTGTTTTCATGGAACTGACCAGTGACTAGTAATTCAGTCCAGCAGTTGGGTTGACTCACTTTTAACTCACTCATCTGCTGAGTTAAGTGATCAAATTGATCATCTGTTTTCCCTACATAGGACAACCATTTCTTTATTTAATAACGCTCCTTGCAAAACAAACTATTCTGATGGTTTGCATTTTTGCAGTCAGGTTTTACTCTTAATTAACAGAGGAGGAAGCACAAATATAGAAAGGACACGGAGCCGAATTGAAGAGGCTGTGAAAGGTGGTGTCTCACGCAGACAGAGAAACATTTATGGGTACCCTGACTTGTACCAAAGGTAGTAGAAGGAGGTTTACAACAAAAATAATACAGGAAAGAATGACATAAATATTTACACTATGAGAAAAAAAATCAAGCAAAAGGAAAATTAATAGTAGGATACCCAAAATAAGTCTAATACCCCAAATACCATTAATTTAAATACACTTCCCGAAGAGGAATCATGAATTTGTTCTAAGCTTTCTTACAGTCAAATCGTTCAATTATAAATCTGCAGAGTATATAAGATGAAACCGACAGCTTGGGCGGTGTACAAAGAACACTAACACTGAGAACAGTATGAAATTTTTCCTGGTGAACTTCATAACATTACAGGTATCATCCCCATAAACATCCTAGTAGTTCCAGAGTTTCGCTGGACTTTCAAATTTCCATAGTTTTTCAAGCCTTCCCCTGCCAATATCCTGTTCTGAGCCAATTATCTCTTCCCTGGACTATCAGAAAAGCCCCCTAACTGGTCTCCCTGCTTCCTCCCCATCCCTGGTCAGTCTCACTGGCAACACTCTCAACACAGCCCTCAGAGTGAGCTTGTTGACACATAACAGCTCAGACGTGCCTCTCCTCAGAACAGCACAGCTGCCCCGTCCCTCAGGGCGAATGTCCTTCTAAGCAGGACTATGACATCCTACTATAATCTCATCAGCACTGCTCCCGCTCTGCTCAGCCCACCTTTTCAAAGAAGCCGTCCCCAGCCGTGCCATCTAAAATTCCAACACCTCCTCACCCCAACATGCTGTTTCGCTTGATTTTTTTTTCTTATCACTAGTATATAACACTAGTGTGGATATGACATGTTATTTTTCTTTTTTTTTTTTTTTTTTTGAGACAGAGCCTCAAGCTGTCCCCCTGGGTAGAGTGCCCTGGCATCACGCTCACAGCAACCTCCAACTCCTGGGCTCAAGCGAGTCTCCTGCCTCTTCTTCATTTAATTGTGTTTTCCTCTCTTGACAGCCTGTTGTTGTTCGTCTACTAGTTTCAAATTAGCACTTGCTTTTACATTCTTCAGATACTTTATTAAGGAGGATGTTCCTGAACTCCATCCAGATAAACACAGAGATGCACTGTCTCCAACTTTCTTTATGGCTGAACAGGTGCTGTGCACACACCATGGTTTACTGATTCGTCTGCGGGTCGATGGGCTCTTGGGCTGTTTGCACATCTTGGTGATTGTGAATTGAGCTGCTATAAACATTTCAGTGCAAATGTCCTTGTGATAAAATGATTTTTTTTCTTCTGAGTAGATACCTAGTAAAGAGATTATGGGATCAAATGGAAGGTCTACTTTTAACTCTTTGAGGATGCTCCATACTTCTTTCCAAAAAGGCTGTACTAGTTTGCAATCCCATCAGCAGTGTAAAAGCATTCCCTTCTCTTCACATCCACACCAGCATTTGCAGCTCTGGGACTTGGTGATGTGGGCCACCCAGACATAGCTCTTTGAGAACATGGCTTAACACCAGGGTCTTCAGAATCATGATTCTTAACCATTTTTGGAACATACACCTCACAGAGAATTCATTGAGAGCAAATATACCAGCTGCCAGGGGAAGGTCCACAACACTCAGAATTAGAGCTATAATTTCAAGGAGTTAAGAATCCCTTGAAGTTTATGTAGTGCTCCCAGATTAAGAACCCCTGACACAGGTAAACAACTGCAGTACACACTCTTCAGCTGATTTTCCATTCGTACAGCTCCAGGAACTCAGCCACTGATAGGCGCATGTGATTTATTATCTGTTCACTCATGTGTGTTCAGTGTGTGTGATTTGTTGTCTGTTCACACACATGTGTTCAGCGTGTGTGGTGTGATTGATTGTCTGTTTACACAGATGTGTTCAGTGTGTGTGTGAGATTTACTATCTGTTTACACGTGCATGTTTAGTGTGTGTGGTGTGATTTATTGTCTGTTTACACATGCGTGTTCAGCGCGTGTGTGTGATTTATTGTCTGTCTGTTTATGCACCTGTGTTCAGTGTGTGTGTGATCTATTGTCTGTTTACACATGTGTGTTCAGTGTGTGTGTGATTTATTTTCTATTTATGCACCTGT